TATGGTTGAGATAATGAGATATGAGCTTGCAAGCATGAAAATCAAGTTACGAAACCATTTGTCCTAACCTTTCAGTCTAGAGTCCTTAACTGTTAACCCTCTATGGAAAGGTAAGACTGGGGCTGCGTAATCCGATATATCTGGTTTAGTTGATGAGCTTAATTTACATGTTGGACAAGTGTGAGTGAAGTTAGAACCATCACCGAGCAGACAAATTAAGTCGCCTTCTTTTTGATGGCATCTCAACACCCTCTCTCTCTTTCAATCTATCAATCAAGCATGAGTAATTCCTACTTAACTTTCTACCACCGTTCCTCACATTCAACGTATTTTCTAATAGCCTCTCTTATCTTTCTTTTAACCACAGACGTACCATAATCTGCAAACCTACTAGTTTGAGAGCATGTTATTTCATGTCTAGTCTGTGCAATATGTTCAGCCACTTCTGACCGTTGGATCCAGCTACCTTTGCAAGTATTTTAGTGTTCTACTAACCTTTGTCGAATTGGTCGGCATGTCTCACCAACATAACACCGACCACATTAGCAAACAATCTTGCAGCAGCCGGATCTCAATAATGGGTCATTTTTCTCTCTAAATGATGGCATAACAGAAGAAAGTGTGAGGGTTTCTTTGAATACTTTTCTTATGCCCAACTTCTTCACTAATTCGCCTATCTTTTTTGAGAGAACGCATGACGCTAAAATTTAGACATAGGAAAAGGTCTCAGTCTGCCTCTCTTTGACTAAATGGTCTCCGTATGAAAATGTATTCCTCACTATAGAGATATTATTCTCAATAAGGCCTAAAGGATAATTATTTTCCTGGAATATATTTGTCAGCCGTTCCAACACTTTAGTCAAATTTTTCTCTATCCGCTAGCCTGATTCTTCTATGAATCATTGACTTCAATATTCCAACCTTGGTCTATGGTTGGAAAGAACATTAAGCAAAGAGCCAACATATGTTGGCTTCTTATAAACATATCTTCCTAACCTACCCTCTTTTCTAATGATGAGAACGTCCAAAAAAGGTAATGACTTATTCTCCTCCATTTCCATCGGGAACCTAATGTTCCTTTCAAGCTGGTTGAGTGAGAATAGGAAACTATCTAAATTTTCTTTGCCATGAGGCCAGATGACGAAATAGTCATCCATGTATCTAACCGACAT